AACTGTGAGTCCACAACCAGAGAGTCAGGGATTGACCAGCCTCCACATTGGACTGATAGCAGCAGCAGTTATAGGTCTACTGATTGTCTGTGCTCTGTTCTGCTATGCTTTTATTTTGTACTTTGTCAAATTCTATAGCTACATTTCTTTGGGTTGATTCTGCTCTTCGTCAGTAATATCAACTAAGACTGGTTTTAGTTGAGTCTCTACAAGCTCTGCACACTGGGTCTTGGGCAGTTTATCCTTCTCAACCACCTACACTGGGTTGATAGTAGTAGAAGTTCTACTGATTGTCTGTGCTGTTCAACCAAATCTATTCACTTTAATGAATTTAGAGTTTGTCAGAGAAACAGGTCATTAGGACTAACAAGGCCTCCCTTCTGTCAGAGCATTGGTTTAATGAACAATATTCTGAATTAAATTATGTATTATGTGTTTGAGTTTAAATTCTTAAAAAGTATAAATGACAGTTAGCATAAAAATGCTATCACTGACCCACAAACCACATTTTATGTCAAACAGGAGCATAAATTATGAGAAATATTGGTCACTGATTTTATTCATGTGCTGTTTATAATTTATACATATTATAAATAAACCCTTATTCATTTATGAGAAGTTGTGACATTTTCATTGAGTACAACTGATAATTTATCACCAGCTTGTGTCCATAGCTGGACTGAGGACAGTCCTAACGTTCTGCCGGTCATGAGAGAAACAAGGGTCTTGCTTTCAAATTATTACTTCACTACAAAGTAAAAGTAGTAAAAGTGTGTGCTACGCTCACTGTGGAGGCCAGGCGAAGCACAGGGGAGGGTGCACACATGCAAATTGCGCATATGTTGGGCACCAGTTGCTAGGCGACCAACAGCTTTCCAGGAGGTGGTTAACAGATATTAACTAGTTTTTCGAGCAGTGGACTTGGATGCAGGATGAATCTACATGTCAGCGAAATGCTCTGGCTTTAGTTGTATTGATGAAGAGGAGGAGATGAGCTGCAGCAAAGAAGAAGAGGATGTGGGTACCAAAATCAGCCTCTCCATTTCCTGTGTGGTCTGACAGGTTCTCTGCAATTGGACGGATCGACGTGACGTCACAGAGCGCTGCGCCCAAGTTGAGCTGTAACTGTCCAAATGACAGGTTTTATGGACATGTGGCTTTATGTTCTGTTATAAATATGAGTTCATACTTCAGAACAGAACTCAGTGAAAACACGTGTGACTTTGCACTGTGCTCAGTTTGGCACAGATACGTCCAGTGGAGCACAGCGCCCACAGCGTCCTGTCTGAAAACAGCTTAATGCTGCAGCTGGTAAAGGTGGAGCTAATGTTAACTACCTTAGATACTAATGTACTTTACATCCTGCTGGGTGGCTGGTGAGTTTCCCACACAGGATCAATAAAGTTGGATGATTCTACTGTGTTTTGTTTTAGTTTTATTGAACTGACTCTGAAAAGGATCTAAAGTTATCAAATACATGTAATGCAACAAAAAAGATTTGCCTCTGAGATGTAGTGAAGTGCAAGTAGGTGTCACGATGTGGAACTCCCTTCCTGTCTTGTTCTTTTGTTTTGTAAGGACTTCCTGTTCTTTGACATTTGCTGGTTTTATTTGTCACCATGTGTGCACATTTTCGGTTTATTACCAACCACCTCACCTGCCTGAACTTTACCCTGGTTTACGATCAACACTCATTGCATTCACCTGTCCCTTGTTATCCCTTGGCTGCCTGTGCATATAACCTGCTCCCTTCCCTCAGTCTGGTTGCTTGTTCATCTGATCTCCATGCTTCGCTTGTTCCCGTCTTCTGTGCTCCCTTTTTGATTGCCACACCTGGTGGGTTCCTTTTCCTTCATCCTCTGTTTCTGGACTCTTGTGAGTTTGATGTTCTGCAGCCTCCGTTTTAGATTTTGTATGTTTGTTGTTCTCAGTTTGTTACTAGAGTTGAGTTTTTGGCTCCCTGACTATTCTATTAATCCTTAGTTCTGTCCTGTCAGGTAGAACACCCAGTACTTTAGTTTCTTAGTTTTGAATAAAGACTGATAAGCTATTAGAACCAGAGTTTGTCTGCATTTTGGGTCCTTGCCTGCCTGAAACGTAACGGTATGAAAGTAACAGGAAATGGGAACACTTACAGTAGCCCTGGGAGAGAGGAAGACTTCATTCCTTGTGGGAAATAAAGCTGTTGAAACATGTCCTCTGCATATTCTCTATCCCAGACACACACCGTATGCGTGCCAAATGGTGAAAGCACTTCAAATGGCACAGACTACAACGGAAACATTTCCGTGGGTGTTTAATAGTGACACAGCAGGTAGATGAGGTATTCAGTTGCTGGCTAATAAGCAAAATGCTAATAGAGCAGATATCAATGTTCATACCTGAATAATGTCATAACGATGTTAAAACCATCAATGTCCCCACCATGCTGTTAAGATGGTCTGTTTTTTCTAATGAAGTATTTGGACAGACTGCATAAGCTACAAGGTGCTTCTGACTTTTACATATGCATTAATGCTGCATTATGGGGCAGCCCTGCTCAAAATGTGAAGATGAGATTTACAAATAAAATATACTATATAGTTTATTTATTTGATGCTACTTACTGTAGTTTCAAATTTAACTCATCCGTTTAACTGAAATTGATTTATCATGTTAAATGGCCCAAAGCACAGGGTAAATAAAGCAAAATGACAGCGGTGAAAAGTATCTTTTTATTTCTTACATTCTCCAAAAAGTATTTATTACACTGAGTAAAAACAAGTACTGAAAAATACTGCAGATGAAAACACAAGAACCTAAAGCAGTTCAACTTCTATACACAGACACAACAAAATTCTAAATGCACATGAATGTATAAATGTCTAATATTTACAGCATCCATATTTCATAATGTAGAAAACATTTCCTCTGACTGTGGCTCCAGTTAAAACATTACAGGTTGCCCCACAGAAAAACAGAGGACATGGTTTGTAACAGCTTCCTAGTACATATCTCTAGTTTGAAGACAAACACTTCAGGTTGTGTTCAGGCTGATGGTGCTCCGTGAAGAAACACAGGCTCATTGTTTTAAAAAGGCCACTGAGTAACTAACAAATGGCCATAAGGGGGCGCAGTCTCTACAGCCTGCTGTACGATCTGTTGAAAGTCATAGAGCTCAGGTAGATAAACAAAATAAAGGGAAGATCCTCTTAAGTTTGTTTTTGTTGTGGTGTTTCATTGTCCCAATCTGTTGGCCTTGACCATTTTTATTTGTTTTGTACCGTATTTATTAGAAAGTGGCTGAGTGGGTTCTCTTCATGGGTAATATTTTAGCTTTTGGTGTTAGGCCTTTTAAAAACTGATTCACTATCATTAAATTACACATTGGCTCATAAATCCTCATTCTTGTGGATTAAACCAGTGTCTGTACTTTTGCAGACAGTGTGGGAACACAGTTTTTGTAGAGTTGGTATGAAATTGACCTCTTTACCCCGGAGGGACAATATCCTTTGGCATTGGGATGTACTAAAAATTATTTTGTTACCCAGGCCTGTATCTTGGTCCGGTCACATACTGTTAAAGGTTCCAGCAAAAACCCCGAGTCATCAAGGTAGCTAGCTAACGGTTAGCTCAGGTTAAGTGAGCTGATTGACTCGGTGTTGAACTGTGGACGAGAAGGACCGTGTCAAAAGAAACCTGGCCAATATACAGTTTGACGTGAACACATATCACACTTGAACAATACTGTTTAAACTAGATTTATGTTCAATGACAACTGGAAGTAAAAGAACAATAGCTTTGTCAGTTGACATCCCAGTCTCGGCCGCCATCTTGGCCTGGATGCTATGAAGGCAAGGAGAAAGGAGAGAACGGGTGGACGGATGAGGAGCCATCAGGAGAGGGGAAGAGCTGGTCGCACCACGCTGGGTCATCCAGGTTTATTTCAACAAATGGGTCACTGGAGGAAGCCGCTAAGCAGAAGAAAAGTGCATTTAGATGTGTAGTTTCCGAAATATTTAAAGCCGTTTAGTGACGTAACCCGTTTCCTGTACATCTCTTGCTGGGAGTAAAAGCTGAGATTGACTCCAACCTGTCTTTAGCTTAGCTGCCTACAAAGGCAATGAGCATGGAGAGTTACTAGCTTCTTCAAAGGTGCATTATAACTTCAGAAATGTCATATTTATAGTGCCAGGCTTGGCTTTGTGTGCACTCTGTCACAGCTTTACTGATGCAAAGCTAAATCACTAGACTTCCTCTTTGAATAATCTCACCTGGGTGGTTGTTGTTTTCATTGTGCTGCTCCTCCCCAGTAGCATCAAAGAACAGGTTGGTACTGCTCAGTGGGCTGGGTGTCTTGTCTGATGCATCGTCACCCAGCGAGGGGCTGGTGTTACCCAGGGGTGAGCTCTCCATGCTGTTTGCATCAGGGTGTCCCTGTGGAGCTGGAAAGGGAAGACGAGGTGTAACTGATTTGATGAACGTCATGATGTGAAGTATCCAGAGCATATCAGTAATGTTAAGGTATACAGTATTTATGTATAGAAAATAATTTTTTCCATTTGTCATCTTTGCCACAGCTCTCATAGTCCATGTGATGTGACCTTTTCATGGGGTGCATGCTATTACAAACTAATTTAGATTTTAGTATTAACAGTTCTTGATCAAATTCAAACTTTGTTTAAATTTTAGACCATGGCCATTATAAAAACTGATAATGAGCTAAATGGAAAACGGGAGGAAAATGTTAATGGGAAAAATGACAAACTGGTGTAGTGTACTGGTCAGGGTGAGGTTTAAATCTTTTTGGTTTGTCCTGTCACCCTCTTCACACGTCATTAACCTGTGTTTAATTTCACCATGCCTTTTAAGATATGGTTTGATACTGAGTGAATATTTGACGTTACAGACTTCAGAATACTAAGCATTAGTTCTTCAGCACCAAAAGCTGAACTTCATCTTGTACCGCTCTCTCCACAGGAGCCCTTTTCTTCCAACTGTAGACTTGTGCCATTTGCTACTAGAGGAGGTGAAAGGTCATCGCTGGTCGCCTGGTCTTTAGGGGCTGGTCGATCTGAGATGAAACACACAAAAGCCAAAAGGTGCATCAGAATAGTCGAATACACTGTCACGTTAATGTAAGCTTAAAGAAACAAACGCACACCTAGGTCGTCCTGGTAGACCGGTTCAAAAGTGCCCATGGGTTCATCAAGATGGCTGACGGGAGCCGGGCGGTGAAGGTCAAACGAGTAGGTCTGGACCAAAGAAACAAACAAGAAGGCTAATATGAGGCAGACAAGAGTGTTAACTACAACACAGTACAGTGAGTGGGTGTAAAATATGTGTTAGAACTGCCACTAAAACTTAATTTCTGTTTTCTCCTACCCTGGAGATTCTCCGGAGAAAGTAGAGGATGATACACAGAGCAATGATGATCAGGATGATGATCACCAGCATCACATAAGCTAGAGAAAGAGATGGGAGCTGGTTCAGTTTTACTAGCATTAGTGAAAGCATTTGGAGGCCCATTGATGCCCCTGTGTTATCAACTGACCATCTAACAATCAGTTTAGGGTCCTTGTGCACTTCCTTCCCGGTTCAGAAGAAATGGGACGGAAGCGCAGGTTAA